AATCCTTGCAAAAACCCCTACAAAATGCCAAAACTCCACTGGCACAAATATCTTTTTCACGTGCTATCCTTAAAATAGAGAAACTGAGAGACTTCTAAACAGTTTCTCAGCTAGTAATTGAGGCTTACTGTTATATAGACTGAACTTAGTGGCTGGGAGTTTATTATTAGGTGAATATATGTTTCTGTTTGAAGACTGTTCTTTGGCAAGTTGCACACTTGGTTATCAATATTTCTGCAGTAAGTTCTGACTGAACAAAGAGGCGAGAAATTAGCATGTCAATTGTCTTGTAAGCAAAATGCATTTATCAAAATGACTTGTTGATTTCTGTTGCTTTCTCTTCAGTCGCATGTTGGGCATTGCAGATATGTATGGGCTGGATGGGCTAAAAGAAGTAGCTATCTACATTTTGAAAAGAGATTACTGCAGTTTTTTCCAAAAGGTACGTCAGTTCTCATGCTACTTTGTCAGCTATAAAGCCCAAGAATTTTGATTCTATTACTTAACACATACTACTGAAAATATATTTAATAACTGTGTGGTCAAGGTGTTAGCTTGAGTCAACAGACCCTGTTCTTATGTGTGAGTCTGCTAATTTCACTGGGATTGATGATGGGAGTAAGGCCTGTGGTATCATCTACCTGTTTACAGAAACTTGTAAACCCCAGCTGATGAAAAGCAGTATTCCACACGATTAATTCAATATATTAAATTACGCTGAGTATAATTTAACATGTCCCATTGTAAATGTAGTTGTTCTCAGTGGAGATAAGGAAATGCTGTATATCTGCATATCATATTTCATGGGCATATATTTAGAAAATATTTCTGTTCAATTAAAATTAGTTTAAAAACAAATACCTCCTTAGAGTTGAGCATTTTCATGCATTAGGCTCATGAGGCTGAATCCAGCTTTACTGACACGTGGAAGCAGATGACTTCCATATTCTGCATAAAGGCAAACAAACCTAAATACCATGGTAGCTAACAGTACTTCTGTTTGAACTGAAGATTTTGTACTTCTGTATGGTTTCTGTAAATCAGAATGTACAATAATTGTGGTAATTTTCTAACAATTCTAGCCTGTTCCTGGAAAACAGCAACCTGTACTAGAATGCATGGCTATTGCTCATTCATTGGGAGTGGAAAACCTGTATGCTGCTTGCATGAAGTAAGTAAAATAAAATAAAATAAAATATTGTTTGTTTTTGATTCTCTGCTTTCTGTTTAAATTATCTTATTTTGGGAGATAGGACTTATTTTGGCATAAGATGTTCACATTTAAAATATTTTTTTTCTTCATAATACTTAAGAGGTATCACTTATGCTAACAAGTGAAGATAAAACATTTTTCATCTTCCTTACCTAAGAGTGGCTCTCTTTTCAACAGATGGGTAGGAAAACACTTTGCAAAATGTTTGTCAGAGAGAAGCTTTGCCAATTTACCTACTGAACTTCAGAACAACTGTCTTGTTATGTTGATTAACTCTTTGGTAAGTAGTGTGCTTTGTATAAAAATAGAGCTATGTAAATTTTTTCCTTATTTAGCTGTACAATGTAATTTAAGAGATAACAAATGTAGTATTTTAAATCTGTAGTACATTTATACTATGTAAAAGTTTCCATTAAAATAACAATTTGAAACCTGATTTTGATGTGAAATGTCCTTGTTATGCTTCATGGCACACAGCCCAGTGATCGTCATATCCACGTCCTGCGTAATAACAGAAAATAAGTTTTTGAACCACAGCTGTGACATCCTAATGCAACATTATGGAAGTGTTCAAGGCCAGGCTGGGTGGGGCTCTGAGAAACTTGGTCACTGCCCTTGGCAGGGTGATTGGGTCTAGATGATCTTTAAGGTCCCTAGTGGCTGCTGCTGCATATTCAGGTGAAAGCCTGAAAACTGAAGAGACTTCAGAGCTATGTGGCTGTGCCAAGAGAAGCTTAAGAGTATCCACAGCTATAAAGCCTTAACAGTTCTTCTGCCAGAATGCATAGCTCTGACAATAAAGATAGTAGCTATAATATCCCAGTAGTACACCTAGTATCTCTTAAGACACTAGGTGTTCTGCCATTATATCAGATCAGTATACTGATTTGTTCATAGAATATACACATAGCTTTGTGTGTCATATGTTGCATAAATATTTGAGAAGTTTTAACTAATGTTTTCAGGTATAGATCTACAGGTGTTCATAGTTACACCACTGCCCATCTCTAAACTACCTCGGGTGTGTCCTGTAGCCAAGAGTGAATGTAGACACAGCTCCAGGCTCTTCTCCGGGCCCTTGTGCAACATTATCACAACAGTTTAAAGATAAATGTTCGGGCCTTCCTTTCCCCTCTGTGCCTATTCCAGTATATAAAGATGCAGTGGTTACAATTTGGGTTGAAATACATGTGCTACCTTTAAGCTGCTGGCACTTGCAGAACATTCATAGCACTGTGGTACTTGGTAGTGCTCCAGGTGTATGCCCAGCTTCTCTGGAAGGTTTTTCCAGTCTGGACTAGTGTGATTTGGATCCCGTATGATTGGTTTAAAAGTTGTGTTGCAAGATTCACTGGTGTTTTATGGACTGAGGTTTTGAAAGCTTTTAAAATTGCAAAACTATACAATAAAGCATAAGCCTCTTCTGCCCAGAGACCAGTTCTGCTGAGTGTTCATTCAACTCCGAGAGCTTAAGACACACATTCCAAAAACCTGTGGAATTCCCAGGGGAGTTTTTCACAATCTGCAAAAATGCTTAAGGCTGCTTCAGGGAGGAAGAAGAAAAGGTCTGACATTAATTTTGCAGGGGCTACTGTTACAATCCTCTTTTTCTCTGCTGCTGGAATTCTCTGCTGTAAAACTTTTTAACAGTTACACCCAGTTAATGAGTATAACTCTGCTGATCTTTCCATTTACCAATATTGGAACTGTAAAGCCTAGTTAATGAGGGGCAGCCCTTTAGAGAAGAAAAGGTACAAAGAAAAGGAGATTGCTGATCAGAAAATCCCTGGGAAGCCACAATGGATAAGCACAGAAACATTAAAATGGGGGTACAGTTTAAAGCACTCTTCAGGTACCTAACCCTGATTTCTCAACTCCATGCAAGAAAATTACTGGTTTTTTAGATAAGTAAAGTGGACTCCACTTCAGAATGGTTAGGAAAAAAATATAACAAGAGAAGTAAAATTCAGTTAGAGCCACTCCTACAAAGTACTGATTTAATTAGAAGTCAATGAAGGCATTTTATGTTTCACTGGAAGTGTCCAATGGGCGCAAATGCTTATTGCCTTGTGAGCAGGGGTTGAACTCTAGACAATTCAAAAAGCTTGTAATTGAGTCCAGTGGGAGCAAAATCAAACTATAAGCAGGTATATAATCTTTAATTTACCTGAGATGCATAGAAGCAACTTGGTTTTGCCCAGATATGAGTAAAACAAAAATTATTAATTGAACAATGGATGGTCAGATTTTTTATTTTAACTATAATCTGCACAGAGAAGGTCCTCCCTGCTTTTGAAGTTGCATGGGACAAACATGATTGTGATCCAAACTTACAGTAGGGGTTTTGTGTCAAATATTTATCTGAATTGCTGTTTTTTTCTAGTGTTACTGATCTTACTGCATAATTTATCAATGTCCTGCTAGGTCATGTTGAATAGAGCTTTCAGTCCATTCTAATATGGATAACCATAAATTGCAAGTTTTTTTCAAGTGATGTGTTAGGCAGTAGAAGTTGCCCTCAGGTACTGTGCTGATGCAATGCATGAAAGAACCAAAAGCACATGGTAATAAATATTAGCAAAACTCTTTACTTGTTTTAAATGTACTTAGAAACATGACATTTACTTTTCTTAGAGAAACTATAGACAACAAAGAGGGGAAGTTCAGTTAAAACTCCATCTGGAAATCAAGAGGATTCATAACTGTGAAAATGTTTTTTGTGTATCCCGAAAGCTGGACCATCCACGCTTACCTAAAACACCGACTTAGCTATTTTATTTCAAAATGTATTACATCTCTCAGCGACCTAAAATGTTTTTCTCTGTTCAGAATAGTTTCTCCACTTAATCTTTGCCTTATTTTCTTCAGGACTGCAGTATGTAATGATACAGTTGAAAAAATACAATAAAGCCTACTGAAAACTTTACTACCTAACTTCAGGCAAAACAGAACCAGTGGATTTTTCTTTTTCTGCTTTAGTTTCAAAGGCAGGTATAATAAAAATATATATAATAAAATTTATTTAAAGAAGAGAAATTACTGCACGATTGGATCCTTGTGTAAAAGTTCAGTGACTGAACAGAAGCTGTTTTACGATCAGCAATTCTTTAAGCAATTACTTGGCAACAGGTTAATTTCTGTTTTTATTTGAAGAACCACAAGAATGCTGCTTTCCTTTTGATGGAGAGTGACCGGCTGATCAACAGCCTCCCCCAAGTGAAGTGGACAGAGGCAGCTGTGGCCTTGGCATCCAGGCTACATGAAGAATGCGTGACATTTATTGTCGCAAACTTCCTACACGTAGTACAAGGCGAAGGCTTCTCTGTTTTGTTGCAGGTAAAAGTGCCCTCAAGTTATTGTATGCTTCCAAATAAATTGAATTGTATTACATTTTGGGAAGTTCAGACTGCTAATTATCAAAATGGCTTCAACTTTTACTTCGCAGTATAATTCTGTGGGAAATTTAAAAAAAAACCTTAGGCAGTGCTAAGTTTTTTGGGGGGGGGCAGGAGGTAGGTTTTTTCAGTGTTGTTTTAAAGCACATAAATATTTTGATATGCAGGACTGACACTGCGTTCAGGTTATGCACCTCAGTTAAGCAAATGTTACAGTTGATTTAGTGGGACGGTTTCTGTGTTGGAAAGAAGTAAGTATGAATACCAGCTTTGAAAAAGCTTTCAGGCCCCTAGAAAAACAGCATGTGCTTACAAGAGAGAGTATGAGCTTGACCGGTATATTCAAACTTCGACTGATTTGTGTTGTGAGTTGCAGGAATGTGGCAGTACTGCAGGTTCTGGTGAGAGCATAGCTAGTCATCTAGCCAGTTCATTTCTCCTGTGAAAGATGTTTTTTAATGTGTGTAGAGGAATAAAAAAATAAATAGGGAGATGTTAAAACATTTTGTCTTTGAATCCAGAGTTGCATGGGGCTGTAAATTCATCACCGTGTGCTTGTTCCTAAAATTTCTGTTAGCAGTAGGCCTCAGGATGATTTGTAGAGGTCTGGAGAGGAGGCGGGTTATGGAATAGATACAAAGGAAGATGCTCAGCTTTGGAATACCTCCTGCACAGCTTGAGAGCAGATCTTCTCTGCTCAGTAATGCTCTTGCATACAAAGTACACTCTTTTGTTTTAAACGGCTGCCCTTTTGTTGTTTCCTCAGGCACAGGCAATGAGCAGCAAACCTGACCTTCTAGAACTAATTTTTAATGCAATTGAAAAAAGCATTAATAATGAAAACAGCTGCTTTCTTCTGGTAGCTGTGGATACATTGTTGGACTCTGCAAATGTGAAGGAGATGGTAGGTTTTTCAATGTGCAGTTTGTAGAAAAACTGTTCTGATATTTTTTCATATAATGGTTCAAATCAGATGATGTGGTGTGAGCTCAGGTGGCTCAGTCCTGCAACTGGGGTCACCCAGAAAAGCATCTGCATAAATCCAAGGTCCTGTTGGAAGTACAGAAAATGTTGTCATATTTTTACTTTCAAGAGAAACCCCATCCATGGCAATAAAAAAGTTCCTGTGTATTACTGAAAATATAAGTCCTATGGGCAACACTGCCCTATTGATCTTTACTATCACTTTAAATTTGTGATGAGAAAAAGCCGATCAAAATGTTGCATTATCTAAAACTTATGGGGGGGAGAGCTTATTCTTTTTCTCCCTATGTGTTTCCCCTCCTTTTTGTGAAAGTCACAGCTACATTTGCTTTTGTTCAAGACTGTCCTCTAAAGCAAGGACTGCCTCTTAATCCAGTATGTGTTTTTTGGATTGGGTGGAGATGTCAGTCTCCATGTGTGTAACATACCGTGTATATCCACACAATCTAAATAATGATATGTAAGCTGTGGATAACTAATTCTGGGAATAATTCATAAATAGTATAACAAAGAATGAAAAATAAATGAAAAATTAATTAATGCAGTCTGGTGCTATTGTAGATCTCCTTGGTCAAAGCAATGAAAATTTAATCAAATACATTCTTTTTCCCTAGAGTATTTGACCTTGTTGTGACACAACTGACAGTGAAGAGCTATTATGGTGTTCATTTAAAAAAAAAAAAAAAAGAAAAACAAAAAGAAAAAAGAGCAATGTAGTGTTTACTAGTGCTGTAGTTTGTAGGTTTTAAAGTACTGAAAAAATTACTGTGGTGGGCAATAATCCTTCAAAAACAGCATCTCCATCTACCAGACCATTATAAAATATATGTGATGACATCATTGATCTAGCTTAGAGAGTAAGTAGATTCTGAAAGGAATAATGACTGGTTGCTATGACAATATGCCCCTCGCCAGCTGCTGATTTGTTACTTGAACACAGGGTTTTACGTGCAAGATCCAGGCGCTGCGTGATAAGCTCTGGGTCTTCCTGGTTCAGTCTTTTTATGCTGTTCGTCACACAGAAGGCTGGAAGCTGATGAGGCCAGACCATCAACAGAAAATACAAGCAGGTATGTTTGGCATCAAACAGCATTAGAATTTTTTAGCAGTCTGTTTAGTAGATAAAATGCAGATGGAATTGTGGAGCCCGATACAAACTAAAGCAAAATCTGTGCTGCTCTGTGTTTTGAAGTGGTGTTTTAGAATAGAAGCATGATGGCATGCTTAGTTAGTTTCAAATATGGGAATCAGTCATTTTCTGTGAAAAGTCTTCCCTCCTTTTCATTTTAGGAGGATATATGATAGAAACCAAACCCATGTAGATGGATTCTATTCTTATTTACAGCTACTCTGAATTACTGAAAACACTGCAGTAGGATTAAAAACCTTATCTGCCTCATTTTTAAGGAGATAAGCTCTGTGGATGAATTAAATTTGCACAAAGCAGATTATGTGTTCTGTGAATTCAGTTTGTGTCCTTTATCGTTTTCCCCATGATGTATAAATATTGCTTGTCTCTTGCATAATGCTTATCTCGTGCTCTGAGCAAATGCAGATAGCTGGACTTCTCGGTTGGTTGGCATTGTGATCCTGTGTGTGCTGCTGCAGAGAGCCCCTAAGGAGCTGCATGGTGTGCTCTCAACATTTTAACAGGCAGCACTTCCAACAAAAAGGAGTTTTTGTTCTTTGTTTCGAAGTACACGGGTATTTCTGAGGGTGCAGAACTGATGATGGAGTTCAGGTTATGGTTGAATATTAGCTTTGATAGTACAGTGTTATAAAAGAAATGTGTTGAATACTTCCCTGAAATCAAATCACTTTTGATTCAAAGGTGAAATAAACATTTTGATGTCCTTTTTGTTAAAGACATTAGTAGCTAGGATATGATAGTTATAAAATTGTTTATGCCGAAAAGTAGATGAAAATTTTATTGTACAATTACATGCTGAGAGAAAGATGCAGTAACAGTCTTTCTAGGCATGATTTAGGGATGTAGTCAAATAATATCTCACTGCTACTGTGTAAAACAGGTTTATGATTTCTTTCCTGGATTATGAAATCCTTCAGAAGCTGAGGAGCTGGCTTTAGAAACAAGGGTGGGTTGTTTATGATTTGGGGTGTTTTACTTTTAAGATGATCATGTCCCTATTGTGAATAATGTCTAGGCTGCTTTGCACTAGTATTTTCAATACAATAAAAATGTTGAAAATCAAGGTGTGTCTTAGTTGTTCAACCTCCATCTTGCCAGAAATTGTTTTCTTTTAGATTAAATTATAACTCAGAGGTAGCATACATATTATATGTGAACAGGCTGAAATGTTTGCATAAATTATCTGGTTTTAATTACAGACAAAATGATCACACAGTACTGGTAGAGAAATACTAATCTTTAGGTCAAATATGTCTAGGATAACTTAAATCAACTTTCATTTTAAAGATTTCTGGTGGTGGTTTATCTTCTAGAAATTTAGCCTATATAGAATTAGAAGGCTATAACAGAGGAGAAAAAATGCCAAAAGAAGGCAGATGATAATGTGGTTTTTTTCATTTACAATATGTCTTGTGTTTTCTTAGGCACAAGTTTATATGGATTTTGTCTTAATATATTGGTATGTATTAATGTGCAGAGTCATTGCTAGAAAAAGGATTAGATCCCTGGGGTGCCATTTTCAGCATACCTTTTGTGTGTTTTTACAGACCTATATAAAAATTATTTTTAGTATCTTCAGTAAGAATTCAGTAGAATTTTTACTTGTGTTATACATACAAAAAATGTATCCATGTAGGATGTCAGAACATAATGAATGCTTAAATTTTTATATCCATTTTTTGCAAAACCTTTTTGCAGCTGAAATATGAATACAAGCATAAATGAAACCTATCGATTCTGGCTCTGTACAGTGTCTATAAATATCCTTTTTGTATTCTACAAGTGCAATTGATTCAAAGGCTTTATTGAAAACTGCTTTCCTCCCAGAGTACATCAGATAAAAATAAGGCATTTACTGCCTGAAAATTCCACATGACAATCACAGGGATAACTCTCATGCCATTATGCTGCATGCTGTCTAAAGAGGCACTATGATCTTACTGTGTACATTTAGGTATTTTGGCTTTACCACTTTTCAAAACTAATATAATTTACTTTAATGTAATTAATCTCTTCTTAACATAGTATAAATAAATATTCTATAAATAACAACACATCACTGAAAAGTATTAGTACTCTAAATTTGAAGCATCTTTTTTGTAAATTCTGTACACTTTCAAAGGTCTCAGTGCACTGCCAGCTTTAAATGAATTAGGCTTGGATAAACAAAAGTCCTACTATGGACATGGGGAAACAGAAGAGTTAAACAACTTGCTTATGGCCATGTGACCTCATTACAGATCTCACATTTTTGTTCCTAACATAAAACCATCTATTTCCACTTAACATTTGCCATGTCACCAAAATTAGCCTTCCTAGAATAATTACAGGACCCAAAGAACTCATTTCAGATGAAGTTGACTGAGTAGGCTGGATTGTTTTCTGTCTGCCTTCTTTCCTGCTAAATAGTAAAGAAAATGCTTCTTCCTTTTACAGCTGCATTTGACAAGGGTGATGACCGAAGACTTGCCAAAAAACCTGTATTCACTAGTTCTCAGGTAAACATTTATATCCAAACGTTAAAAACACTTGGATAATTGCAAACAAAACTATTTTCATTATTTGTTTTAAATGAATACTAATTTTCCATATTGCTTAATGGAACTTGTTTTTGAAAAATCTATATTTTCCTGTGAACTGTTGTTTCTGCAGAATCAGTAATGTTCATTGCTGCAAACATCTGAGGATTCAGACTGTGCTCTGCTACATTTTCAAACAGATAAGCTCAAATAAAAGAGAGGAATTTGTGTTCAGAATCTCATATTCCTCTCTTGCTACATAATGAAACTCATCTGTTTCCTAGAGCAAATGGTTTGCTACTGAGCTAATGAATCTCTGCTATTTTTACTAGAAGCCACCACAACACCAAGTCTCTTACACTCCCTGCCCAGAAAAATATTTTTTAGTGCCCTTAACAACTCTTCTGTTGAGACTCTCAATCAAAACTACATTATCATTTGGTAGAAAAACAGTATGGGTTTCACATGATTTGGCAGTCTTGGATACATTGCAATGGCACTGGTATTACAAAGATTCCATTTCCTACACTTAATTCTCCATATTTCAGTGCATCTCTTTACCTGAGAGAATAAACATTGTCCCTTCTCTGTGGATACACTCTAGGTAATGGTTAAAAACATCACTTGTATTATACAATAATTTTGGGGTTTATGTTTGTAGTAATGCATAGCTTTGTTCCTCTTTGGAAAGTATGCACATATAACTCAAAAAAATTTTCTTACTTCAGCAGCCTCTAATAATATATCCATTACAGAATAATTTGTCCAAAGTAAAAGCAAAACTCTACTTAGATCTTTTTCTCTTCTTTATATAGAGCAGTACTTCCCATGAGTGATTTGTGCTGCTTTTATATTCTTGAAAGCCAGCAAACTAAGCTAAAATATATATATATTTAAATTTATTTCTATGTTGAATGTTGTTGCTTTAGATTTATGTACTAATTTAAAAGTAGATGTGTTTCAGAAGTGTAAGAGTATGGACAGTTTGGTTTTACACATGTTGTCTGTTTTGGTTGGGGGTTTTTTCTGATGCCTTTTTTTTTCTTTTTTAATCCTAGCTAAATAAAACTACTACTCAATCTGTTGGTATAAGGAATAGTTCCTGGACAGAATACGGCAAGAAAGATTGCTGGGGAGATCCTTCCACCAATCAGGATAAAATGAAATCTGATGGATTAGGAGCATCTGGACATACATCCAGCACCAATAGAAACACTGTTAATAAGGCTCCAAAGCATGAGGATGTAAAGGGAAAAGATGGCAAAAAATTAGTTTCCAAGATTACTAAGGATTCAAAACCTGGGGAAAAAGCTGCCTCGCCAAAGGCTAGAGCTGTTATAAAGACAAAAATAGAAAACAATGGAAATGTGAAGGCTGAAAGCATGCTTAGCAAGCAAGATGGAGAAAAGACATCACCTGCAACTGGACAAAAAAATTCTGGAAGTGGCAAAGGACTAAAGAATCATGAAGGAAAAATTGCAGGTGCCAGACCTAAAGTGCTGACAGTAACCTCAAGTGTGCAGATCAAAACAAAACCATTGAAAAAAACCCCAGGGAAGGAATCTCCCTCCTTAGTGACTGTAGCAGCAACTTCCAGCAAGTCAGCAAACTCAAATGCGGATAGCAAGACTGTCAATGAACAGACAGAGGAACCCAAAGAGGATAAATTGGTAGAGGAAGGGAAAAAACAGACTGGTAATTTTTTATGATTTTTTTTATTGAAGTCTTGTTCTAATTTGCCTCAGGCTGGTCATACACTGAAAACCAGTCTGGGAAGCCTTAAGAAAATCTACTATAGATTGATGGGAGTTACTTTCTTTCGCTGTAAATAATTATTAACTGACTTTATGGTCAATTGATAGCCATAGAAAATGGTAAACATTTTACAAGTTTAGCATCTATGCTGTTTTCAATAACTGACCTTCATGTATTAGATTTTTTCAGTACGTACATCCAGTGCATTTCCCCCTGTAATTAACTTTGAATTTACTTTACAATAGTGAAAACAAAGGCATCTGTGAAGATATCAAATGGAGTCACCACCAAAAAAAAAAAGACTGAGCTTGAGGCTAATGTCACAACAAGCAGGTATGTTACAGATCAGTGTGCTGCTTTATATATGTGTGTATGAGCTTGGGGAGAAACGTTTCAGGTGAACTATTAAACTTGCTGTTAGATCAATCAACATGTTCTTTTTAAGCTGAGAATGGTTGTCTGTAGGATGTTATTTGCAAAACAATTTGAATTAGCTATTGGAAAAATTCTGTAAAGATAAAATTGGTTTGGCTTTTGTGTTGGGCTGTTTCATGCTAATAATTTTTAAATTGTTATAGGTCATTCAGAATTCTGCATACTGGAACAGTTAATGACTACACAAGGTGTTGTAAACTTATTGTTTCTGGAATAGGTTAAACTGGACAGGGAGACAACTGAAACACCATGAAATTGTGAAATGGGTCATTTTATATATGTTTTATATACATTAAAAATATAGATGCACAAATAAGTTTTATTCTCAGAAAGTTTACTTTTTAGGTCGCATTTTCGATGTTTATATGTGTGTGCACATAAAACCACATATATTGCTTGTTTAAATATAATTAAACATTACTAGATCTAAGCTTGGAAATAATGGATATAATAATTTCCTTGCAGTCTGACAAAAAAATCAACAGGAAAAGGATGCAATGAGCAAAATGTACAAACAGTTCTAAAGAAAAAAGGGAATGTCAGTACCAGTTCTGCAGCACAACAAAAGGCTCAAAACACACCTACCAATTCTCCCAAGAGCCAAGGTAAAGTTTCATACAGCAATTAAATGATCTGGCACTGTTAAGTAAAGCTTTGGGTTTTGTCTGTTTGTTTTTTAGCACAAGTGTTTGGAAAAATCTTCTGAAGAATTCTGGGATTTTTCCATATTTCAATTTTGGTGACAATCCTAAACTGTAGAATGCAAATTAATGTGTCAACTTCAAAATGTTTAGAAGACAGTCTTCACTGCCAATTGGTGTTTTCTCTTGCTTGTTTAATCTGCATTGCAGAGTCTTCTATTTGCTGATCCCCTGCACTTCTGCATTTGGAACCATGACTGAGTCCAACAGAAATGCTGTAGGTTGAGCGTTTATAATAAGCATCAGAGATATGGACTGCAGACTCCTTCCTGGCTCCCTATTTTGGTGTTCCCCCACAGCAGTAGCACTACTGACACTGACCCACAAGCTGCTGATAGCAAGACTAGGAAATGACATCATAGACCACAGAGAGGGAACACTGCTTTATAAAGAAACAAAGTGTTAAGGATGGAGCTCCAGTATTCAAGTTATATTATCTTTAATGCATTATGATATAGAAAACACAGGTTCTGTCAATTTGTGGTCATTAAAGATCTTTCAGTGTTTTCTGACTGAGCAGGGACATTAATTCTGGTATTCTAATCACATTATGACTAATGTAATTATTTTCTGCCTCCTTTCATTTCCTCTACAATATAAATTGAATACAGTGCTCATCACTTCCTGTGCTAAACTGCTGTGTAGTGTTTCTATGCATTATTAGAGAGCTGCTGCTTTCTACTCCAGTGATGACTACCTCAGTTACAGGCTGAAGTAATTCCTGTATGTATATTCTATGAGTTGCTTTAAAGACAGCATGTAAATGCAAGATGGTATTTTTGTCTACTGTTTGTTTAAGATCTCAATTCTTCATTCTTTATTAAGCCCTAAATCCCTTAGTTACATGAAATGCTGAGTAACTTGTTTCTCAACATAAACACTAACATAAAATTGGTCAGTGTACTGTGACTGGCATATACAATCTTTATAGTCTTTTTTACTGTTTGTTAGGACCTCAGGGGGAATCAACAAATTCACTGAAATCAGGAATGTCTCCAAAACATAATGAAGAAAAAAATGTGTTACAACATCTGGTTCAGACAACACTACCAGAAAAACATCCTTCAGCCAAGAAGAAGAGTGTTAAGCAGTCACAAACACCTGTAACAAAAGCCACTGCAAAAATAACACCTAAAGCCCTGGCTCCATCAAAGCATGCTGAGATTACAAATAGTAAAGACCCGAAACAGAAATCAGCTGTATTAAAATCTCAGTCCTCTGCCCAAAAACATTCAAGGAATGAGTCTCCTGTTGTCCAGAAGAATGTGCACACCTCTGAGCACAGAGATTCAGGACAGAAACTTGAGAAAAACACAGCTGATGCTGTGGCAGGTCAGCTTCATGACAATAATGAATCTTTTAAACCTACGGTGCAAAGCAGCAGTGATGATAAACTGCTGGAGTCCTGTCAACCCAATAAACAAAAATTATCAGATTCTACTGAAAATGTGCAATACAAAATACAATCTGAGTCTTCTTCTCCTCTAATTACAGAAGAAACTATTTCTAAATTTCATGTTTCAGTGCAAAATGACAGGGAAACAAGACAAATCTGTAAAGATCAGTGTGGAATTAAAAAGATTGAAGATACAAAGATTGATTATACAGCTGAATTTCACTGCCATGCACAATCTGCCAGTGATGGATATTCAGACTTTTCCAAGGAAACCAATCAAAAGGCTAGTGTTCCAGGAGAACTGGTGAAAGATTCAAAAACAACAAAAGTCTGTAGTGAGCAAAGTGATAAATTAAACTCTGAAACAGGTCTTAACTATGATGAAAATGCTTTGTCAAGCTTTTCCAGAATAACCAATAAAGAAGATGAGACATCATCTCCTCAGATCCATATGGAGGGATTTCTTACAGCTGATGAACTGTGTGATACATCAGCCTTGACTGAATATAAATCAGTTACAGCAGATTTAGATGATGTTTCAGAATGTTCCACAGAACAAATAACAGAAAAGTATTCACCTAGTTACACAGAGCTTATAGACCCTACAGAAATGCCAGAAAACCAGGAAAATGCAGAAACTCCCTTTGTTGACCACTGGAATACTGGTGCCATAGATCCAAAAGAGAGCCCGGAATCAGATACTGGCAGTGCAACCACATCCTCTGATGATATAAAACCAAGATCAGAAGATTATGATGCTGGAGGCTCTCAGGATGATGAGGGATCCAATGAAAGAGGGATTTCTAAATGTAGCACTATGTTATGTCATGATTTTCTTGGAAGAAGCAGCAGCGACACAAGTACACCTGAGGAATTAAAAATTTATGATAGCAGCCTAAGAATAGAAGTGAAAATGAAAAAAGAGGGTTCTGATCTCTTCCGTGTTAATTCAACGAGTGATGATGAAATACCAAGAAAAAGACCTGAAATTTGGTCCCATCAGGAGAGTTCACGGACCAATACTAGAGAAAGCAAAAGTTCTACTTTTGGAAATGCACAGTTTACTCAGGAAGCAGACCAAGTTTCTTCTTCTGCCGATGAAACAGAAGATGACAGATCTGAAGCAGAGAATGTTGCACAAAACTTCCCTCCATCAAATGTGCCCACTCAACAGTTCCAAGGAATTGATAATTTAGCTTTTGAAGATGCAACAGAAAATGATACTGTAAGTCAGGAGTTTTCTAAAACTAAAAATTTCAAACGATCTGTTTTACTTTCAGTAGATGAATGTGAAGAATTGGGATCTGATGATAAAGTGGAAACTCATACTTCACGTCAGCACTCAATAGATTCTCTTACTCCAGAAGTATTTGACAGTGTTTCTCAAGAGCAGCACGGAAAGACCTTTTATTCAAGACACTCAGAGGAAACTGAAGAAGGATTCCTGGATGGCAAACAGCGTAAGGATAGAGACAATAAGTCAGATAAAAGTGGAAGTTCTCTCCTACATCTTCACGGTACTGAAATCCCAGGGAAGGAGGACGAGGGTGCTTCAATGACTGAACAAAATTGCCCAGAAAAAATCTATTCAGCAGCTAGTCCATGTCCAGGAGAAAAACAGGAAGTAAATATGAAGAATGAGGTTGCTATTGAATTTCAGCAGTGCAATAAGTACTTAGACAATGATGCAAAATCTCAAGAAAGACCATGTCATCTGGATCTTCAGCAGAGAGAAACTAATTCTGATGCGCAAAAGAACAGCTCTGCAAAACCTGTAGAAGCCAGTAAGAATCAGATACTGACTCAGGAAGGTCAAGTGAGAGACAGTCAACCACCAACTACTGAATGCGCTAATACTGATTTACTTCCAGGTAATGTACAGAAATAGAAACATTCAGTCATTCAAAAACAAATTAATAGGCAAAGCTCTGGCAATTTGTCTGGGATTGAATCCTGAACTGAAGTAATTTTGGCTGAAACTATATTAAATTTAAATATTTTTAAGTAGTTCACTTGGGTTAGAGAATGCTTGTCTGTTTGAAATATCCGTCAATACCCTGCTGTTCAATGAGAAACTTGACTACAAGAAAAGAGATTTTATGTAATGCTAAAAGAAAGATTGGATACAGTTGTCTGTACTTCAGTTATTTTTGATCCAATCTAACATTGACAGCATCAGCTTTTGATGGAATTTTAGTATTTGTTTTGTCTGCTTGACAACATATAGTATGTCTGAATGGGATGTGCAATAACTAAAGTAATAACCTTAACTAAAGCGCACTGAACTGTTTACCTGAACAGCTATATGCATTATTGTTGTAATTTATTTATTTATATATTATATACCAATTTGGATCCTTCTCCCACTGAATATAACTGAATATTTGCCATATACACCAGTGGGAGCAGGTTTGAACTCTGCTTTAGAGCTTGTGAGATGTCTAAAATTCTAAATTTTACCAATAAAAGCTTATTTCCTAAAAGAGAGATTATACTTAGAACTGATGCTTATATACAGAAAAGTTCTAACTTGTTTCATGTAGCTAGATGAATACTTGTCTAGTTTTGTGTTTTGTCTTCTTTATATCAATAATTCAGTCTGTTTATCCCATCAAAAATATACAATAGTGTTGATTACAACTATTGTATATTCAAGAGCAATGAAACACTGATGATGATCTGTGTTCAGCCAGACCACAGAACAAGAAGACATTACAAGTTGTACTATTTTTTTTAAGTTTGCTTGCCCTTGCCTGCAGCTGCCCTTGCATGTGCAGTGTAGAAATAAGCCTGTGGATAAACAATTTTGGTTTTAATTCTCTCCTAAGCTGACATAGCTTAAGTCACCATTCAGTAATCATTCTCTATTAATTCCCTCTATGCACCTCCTGGTCTAAATTTAATTTATGTAGTAAATGAGAAATTTCATGTGCATTAAGTGTATATTTACATTGTCATTTTCTGTATCAGAAACTTAATTATGGAGGTTATTGTTAATTACCAGTGGTGATTGCTACTTTAACTTAATTTATAAATCATACTTTGTTTTTTATATAGGAAATAAATGCCTCAAATTTTGTCAATTTTGTATAACCCTCCATCCCCCCTTTTTTTAACCTGATTGGATTGTCCTTCCTGAATGAATTAAATTTTGCTCTACACAGCCCTGAGGGGAGGATCATCTACAATTTTTACATTGTACAGTATTGTGAATTATTTCAGGAGACATAGATGATTATGACACAATGGCACAAACCTGCATGTATGAACATCGGCCTCCAAAAACCCTTTCTCCAATATATGAGATGGATGTTGGAGAAGCAATTGAGCAGAGGATGGATTCAGAAACAGCAGTTCTAGATGTGGATTTTGAAGATCAGCAGTTTGCAGAACAGGACTGGACTCTTCTCAGGCAATTGTTATCTGAGCAGGACTCAAATATAGATTTCAAAAACTCTGTTCCTGAAGACCTTAACTTAGCACAATGTCTTATCAATCAGACACTGTTTCTGGCACGAGATGGTTCAAATCCTCAGGGTACATCACAAGTTGACACATTCAGTAGGTGGACTGAGCTCATGTCTCCACTGGACGATTCTTCAGCAAGCATTACAGTGGCAAGCTTTTCATCTGAAGACTGTTCATCCCCTCAAGGGGAATGGACAATTCTTGAACTGGAAACCCATCATTAAGGTGACCAACTGTTTGCAACTGAACTCCAACCCATTCCCCAAATCTATTTTTGATGCGTTGTTTCCATACAATAATGATACTGCATCAGTCAAGAACGAGCAATTCTTGATACTGAGGCAATCTTTCTTATATAATGAGGTAAATATGTTAATTTATAATCTAGATTTAATCACAGGTACGGTAATTTTTCAAGACTTAAATGTATGTCTTTTCTAAAAATGAACTTTGAGCATGTATTTTCTAGAATTGTTAGAAAAATTAGATTACATGAACGAAAAATCTTGGTTTCCACCTTCCCTTTTATCTTCTTTTTTGACATTTAATGTTCTCATTCAGCAAAAATTTAAAGATGAATGCACAATTAGTAGAGCTATTCCCCTCCTTTTTTTCCCCCCCTCTCTCTATGGTCACTTCATTTTACAACAATAAAGATTCAGAATGGTTGTGTCAAAAGGTGATGTGTGCCAACACTACTTTAAATGATGGAAACACAGTCTTATGTTCAAAGAAAATGTTTCAATCTGAATCTGCCTTGGGCCTTATTAATATGAGCAGCTTGTTTCATCTATTTCTTCCATATTAAATTTTTGTATTTTGGTTTGTTTTGTTTAGAAGTTTGCAATAAATTTTTTAAATTGTGTTTCCTTTAAATATAAGACTTCAGAGGGTCTGTGCTATAGGAAGAGCACTTTTCATTTCTTGGAAATGCATGTTTAAGTAAATATTTAAAATGGCATAGTGCATGAATTTAAAGGAGTTGGTAGAATGCTGCTCCTGTTCTAAGAAACAGCATGTCTGATGTTTCCACGAATATATCTGATGCTGAAGTCGTGGTCAGTGTTACATCAGAAGTCTGACTGACTAGAATTACCTTCTGGCTTCAATTCATAACACTTGCACCCTCCTGATGCTGGGGCATAGCAAGATTCTCAGGAATTCAGTTTTGTTTGTTTTTACAGATGCTACATTTTTGGAGCAGTAATAGGATTCTTGCATCTTCATTAATATCTCTAGTGTAGCTTTTATATATTGAGACTAAATGTCAACATAACCTTTCTTCTGACTCAGAGTGAAATAGGATACAAAGCTCATTCTGCTGCTTTTGGCTATTTGAGTGTGGATAGGACTAATTATTGTCTTTTGTGATTTGACAAGGAGGAAGGAGTGAGAAACTCTTTGTAATTGTTACCAAGTCAGAACTCCTGAAACAAACAAGTTTTTCCCCCTGCAAAGGCTGGGCTCTCTAAAATACCTGCATTATGGAAACAGGAGGGCTTGTCTTTCACACAGCCTGAAGTCTAAACAGGAAGTATTCTACCTCCTCTCAGTCATTAACAGAAGTGCCTTCTGAAATAGGTGCCATATGGCAGTAAATGGCTACTAACATCCTTCTTTTGTGGAAACTATTTAAGATAAGTACACAACTTAAGCTGGTTGTAACCACCGGTAACATGGTCAGTTTTGCAAGCTTTTGCACAATTCCAACAGTGCACCTTAATTTTTTTGGCAAACTTCATTTCTTACTGTTCATAGTCAAACTCTCAATTCTGTGGAAATATGAAGTTGCCCTAGCGTATGAATGAAGTTATGACCTGTCTGACCTTTGGATCTGACATAATAAAGAGCTTTGGGGCAAAATAGTTTATCTAGAAAGCCACTTTGTTGAACTTCTGGTACAAAAGTAAAAGTAATGTTTTATTCTCCTCAGAACAAACAGAGGAAGAATTTTATATCTCATTGCTTAATGTCAAGGTAGGGGGAAAAATAGGAAAGCCTTCCTTTCTCTATGTCAGTGGAGGACTCTAACTCAGGGAAGGAAGATGTTCAGTCTCATAATAAAAATCTTTCTAACCAACTCTTTTAGCAGCAGTACCAGTAGTTTGAAATATTATAATTCAAAATATTATAAATGTAATACACTGTATTTAACCCAGTTTTCATATTGAGGAATTTAGGAGAACCTTTAGAAGTGCAAATCATCAAGAAAACCTGTTTTTCACCTTCAAAGTTTACAAGGTTTATCAGTAGGGGATAGTCTTTTGAATAAAAGAAAGAACTATAGTATTAGCCAAAGTAAAAGATGAAACTTGAGAGAAGCTCTTACAGAAGGCTGAAGAATAGTGTTTGCAATTTCTCTGTAAAACACTGAAGTAAAACTTGTTTACCAAAAAGCTTGATCAACTTTCAAATCCTGATGATATTCTGATAGTGGGCATTCACATGTTAAACAAGATGAAGTGATGGAAAGGAGAAGTGACAGAAAGTGAAAGAAGGGCTCCTTTGGTCTATTTTTTGTTTTGCCCATATTTTTAACTCTAACTGAATTGATAGAGCAGCACTGAAGCGACACACAAAGTTTCATGTTTGTTTTATGAATTACAACACATACAGAGGTTTATTTTTTCTTTGCATTTACTTTTCCGATTGTATCAAAATGAAATTAGCTTCTGTCTTCAAGTCCACAATGATGTTGCTGCAATTCCTTTAATAGTTTTGCAGCAGAGCGCTGATTAGGATATGGTATTGTTCAGTTGTTACATATGCAGCCATAGAATTCAGCTTCCCACAGCCAAAGAGTGTCTGTAGAAGTAGCAGGAATAGAAAGTGGTATTGTTTTTAATTTGCGTTACCAGAGTGCCTGTGAAGCTTAATCAGACCAACATCCCACTGGCTAGACATTGTACAAACCCAGAACGGAAACAAAGACTTCCCACAGAGTGCTTATAATCCAAGTTAAGACAAAAGACCAAACAAAAATGCACATGGATGGAAAAGTAAAATGAGCGTGTCAATGTTTATCTAGCTGATTAGCAATGGTCTCAGCGCATCATCAGTTTAAACAGTCATTTTTTTTCTCCTGTATGCATTATGAGAAGGGGAAGTTGGAAGGTGAGATTTAGAGGCTGGATAATGAGGGAGCTGGAAGAACCTATATTCCTGACCAGCCTTGGTGCTAGCTAAACTCTCTTCCTACTTGACCCTGACCTCATTCAGGGTCAAGCTTTTGGCCAGGTGTAGGTGGCTATGTATTAATAGTATCAGTCACCTGAGTTCTTCAGAGTCCTGCTCGTGCCTCCTGTCAGTGATTTTGTCACTGTACTGGCCTCATTTCCAAAGCATGAGAGAATGGATAAAGGTTTGTTTGAAAACTTCATAGAGAAACAACCAATGCTAGTGTCACAGGCTTCAAATGAATAGTGATTAAGAGGTCCTGGAGGACCTCTAAAGTAGAGACAAGGTAGGTACATCTGATGAAACAGTGAAAGGGTGTCAGTGAAGAAACTAAAGAGATGGCATAGTGAAAATATTGTTTAAGGATTTACCTTTGCAGTAGTATTTTGGATAAGAGCAATAAAATTGCTTCATCAAAGCCTGAGCAGACATTGTTGCAGTTAAGAGGTGATACTGACAGCTTACCTGAGATCGTTATGGGAATGGGAAGGGTGTCTGTATCCTGCAGGTAGTAACACCAAATTTAGTAAACTCAGTGAAATTTAGAGGCGAGAACTCAGAAATCAGAGTGACTAATGACCCTGATTTTGCTTATCTTGAATTATGTTGTGAAAGTGAAAAACAAGGAAGGATGTTTTACATATGTGAAAGTATTAAGTTTAAAAAAGACTGTACCTCCAAAAAGTGGTCCTGTAGTCATAATAACTTTTTTTTTTTTACTTGAAAAATTAGAGTCTAGTCTGGACTGGAGAAGCAGCTCTGCAGGGTTTTTACATACAGATACTAGCTAAAATTGTATTTGTGGAATAAATCACCAAAAGAAGTATTGCAGAGGGAAAATGGAAGCAACAAACAGTTGGAAACCTACAAGAAACTAAGGAAAGTGGCGGTTCTTCCAAATAATCTGCTCAAAAAAAAAAGAACCATTAGGTAAGCGAAGGAAATAAAGATGAAAACAGGAGTCAAATGAGGATGACAGGATTTAAGGAAAACTGCACCACTGGCTTCACTGGACAAAGCCCACAAGGCAGATGTATAAAATACCAGTTTTGAGGTTGGTTAAGAAAGTGTTCTTAAGGACTGTGGTCAAAATGAGATATTGGCTCACAGAGTAAAAGGCAACCAGATGCCAGTTTGGTAGAGCATGACAGAATTGCAGGAAGGAAACTGAGCCTAACTATTAAGAGAGAGGCAACAGTTAGAAAAGCAGATCAGTTAATAATATATTCTAGGTTGCTTTTTCAATGCATGAGATTATGCCATGTTTATGTAGCGCAGCAAAAGAAATGTGGAGACAGACATACAGTGACGATCAGGAGAGATAAGTGAGCATGAAATGAGATCAGCAGGCAGTCTGGGCTGCTACAAGTGATCAGATCAGTGCATAAAACCCAGACACTGGCTTTTGTGGTGTACGGGTAGTGGAAAGGACACTCCATATATTCATCATTTTTTCCCTTAGAAAAACTTCTAGAATCATAGAATTACAGAAAAGTATAGAACTATAGGAAAATGCAGGCTTGAAGAGACCTCCAAAGGTCTCTAGTCTGACCTGCTGCTAGAAGCAGGGGTAACTTCAAAGTTAGATCAGGTTGCCATGGCCTCATCAAGGTTCATAGCATATAAAACCGTAATAAAGTCAGCAGGGACAAACACAATGCTCATGTGAAGCAGTTATTTGAGATTAAAATATTCCAATAATATTGAAACTACTTCAACTATTGTTGAAAAATATTAGTAATTAAGTACAAGAAATATGGCTTGCTTGCAATATTTTTAAATTCTGGATGATATGTGACTGAACTGTACATGTTTAATAATCTTACCTCACACTTTTTAAGGTTTTAAATTATTTCAAAATTATACTGAATTTTTGACTTTGCAAATTTTATTATTATTTTGGAAGAATTAGGGCAAGAGAACTTTGCATGTTTCTCTCAAAAACTGTCCATAGGATGTGTTCCCTAGCATTGTCTTATCAGTTTCTTTCAGGGAATATGTAAAAACAAACAAAAAAACCCACATCGCTGTTCTAAGTACAGATTATAGGAGACTGTTTTAAAACTTTCAGTATATATTATTGCCATCTGGAAAATAATTAGTAGCATGTTCATTCTAGTTTGCTCCAGAAAATCTAAACCTTTGCATGAAGGAATTAAGAACTGCTCTTATGTTGTACATCAGTTGCTCAGAACCAAGACGTTTAAGAATTCATTATTTTGCTTTCACTAATGTCAAAGAAAAGACTGTTGACCTCAGCTGAAGCAGGTTCAAGCCTTGCTTATATTAATGCATGTACTAGAAATGCTATTTTTCCAGTATATCTATTTCATAGTTTTCTAATTTTACTCTACTAATAACATTGTACAATTGTAGGTGTGACAAATTACAGCTAGAAAGACTTCAATTTATTAGTCATAACTGTATGCATTCTGTTAATATTTCATGACTGAAGTGATTTAACATTTTTACATTGATAGATGACTTTCATGCCAGGACTACACAGGAACTGAGGACAAAAGACAGGATGAGAATTATTGCAGCTTTGTTACAGCAGATGATTCCCTGGAAATGAGCTTTTAGATATGAAATCCAGTATAATTAGAAGCTTTCATCTCTTGCAGAAAATCCATACTGATTTTCGTATCTCTCTCTTGAACACAAGCTATATATGATATTTTTTGAAAAATAAGCTTTAATGTGTTCCATTTTGGAAAAATTACAGCTCAGATCTCTTCTTTAGCTAATTTAAAACCAAGCTTCTTCCCATTGACAACTACTACCTGTGTTTAAGGAAACTAAACTTGTAACAGGATATCGATTGGGGAAAAATACCGAGTTTGATAATTTCTTTGATTTTTTTTACATTTGGTAACTAATATAATAACAGAAAAAGCTATACAATGCATGCATGCACACCTGTTTATTTATTGCATTTGATCTTCCTTTTATACTTTGCAGTCTGTACTGTGCAGTCCATTAGGCCACAGTTCTGCAAACACAGGAGCGAATCCACATGCACATTTGCAGATTGGCTTTCCATTTAACATTGGCTTTTCAGAAAGGGTAATGGAGCTGGCACTGGGGGCAGGCACTGGGCATGCTTGGGCTTTTATACAGTACTCAGCTTAATGAGCTTCTAATCCTGATGAGCCATCTGGATGCAGTTAAAGTATGAAATAATTAATAACGGAATTCCATTAAGTTGCTTCCCTGTTCTCCTTGATTTATTGCTGAAGTTGCCAGTTCAGAAGACTATTCAATTAGAGAAATCAAAGTCCTAAGAAATCATAACTTTTCACGTTACATACAACAAAATTTCTTTTGCTATTGCACAGTAAAATATGAATACTGATCATGTCTTCAGTAACTCAAACCTCAGTATTTGGAGGGGCTGCCTGTAACTCAATAAATAGATGTATTTAACAAGGACATTGGTGGTCAGATTAGGATGATGACTGTTAACTGCATTAGAGTGCATATTCTGGTGAACCTGAACAGAGGCTCACATGCACAAATTTGGGACTCAGCCCAGTGACCCAGGTAGTCCATCAGATTTTATACTTTTGCACACCAGTGAAAGTGGCTACTTGTTCTAAGCTCCCACTGCAGTTAGTGTGAGAGATCCACATCTCTAAAAATCAGTGTATTTAAGTGTCTGAACAGAAAGACTACTTACCTGAGTAAAAACTTTGGCTCATGTAACTTAGCTGTATAACCCACTTTTGAGATTGATCTCACCAACTTAAACCTACGGCATCCTCATTTATGCAATCCTTATTTAGGAATGTTTGTGGTTTTCTTACACTTGTTTTTAATGAAATTATTTTAGTTCTTCACTTTTTTTTCAAATAACACTCTTCTGAGTGTGGAATGGCATCCTGCCTCTCAGTAGAGTTACATCAGTGTGCTTAAGATCAGTATAAATAGGACAAACCATAGGTACATGCCAGATCTAGTGTAAGTAGTATAAAAACTTTTTGTGACCTTCATAGACTGAGGTAATTTTAATGTCCACAAACATGAGACCCACCTTTAAATCAAACTTCCTACTTGTAACAAAATGTCCTCCTGTATCTGTAGAGAAGAAAACTTCAATCTCTATTTTCTGGATTATCATGTTTTAGTAATCAAGATTAATCCAATATATGTATAACGGGATGCATCTGGAGGAAAGTCTGAGTCACTTGCTATAGTCCATGACTTTATGGTCCAAGAATATTTTGACCACTCAGTCTTGTGGAAGGAGGGGGAGGGTTTTAAGCTCTCAAACTGAATGCTTGCATGTTTTCCAACTGCTTGCTTTTCAGATTTAGATCATTAGCTGGGGCCTAAGTAATCGTATTTCCAAATGACTCCTTGTCAACACCATCTTCTGTTTCCAGAATATCTGTATGGTTGCATAGTCCCAAAACCTTTCTTCCCCATGCTACATACTGAAGGTTCTTAGTTGATTTCTGTATGACAGAAAATAATAAACCTATGTGTAAGTTAAATGCTGAGTCATTGTACTTCATTCAACTTGTGGACTGCTGACATCAATTTTTATTTGTGCTCTGTCAACTGCAAAAAAAAAGCGTTACTTTTCTATGTGTTTAATGAACCTTCACTCTTCCTCTTTCTCCTCAAAAAGAAAAAAATTAATTTTTCTTCAATTGTGTAGTCAGAGAACAGGATGGGTGATGTGTGCAAAGATCAACAATCAATTCTCATATAAAATGCATAGAGAGGAAGAGACCTGTGTAACTGCCCTACAAAATCAAAAAATGGTGCTGATGTAGAACACACAGGATATGGCTCTGGACAGTACAGAGAAACACTAATTAGATGATAGATTTTACCTTGTCATAAATTAGTTATTCATCCAAATGCTTACACCATTATCTTCATCATAGGGGAGTTGTAATCCCAAGATCTTTCTATTCCTGCCTAAATGGGGTTCTCTGCTCTGCTTCCAGGAATTATTTGATGTGCTGCCAGACTCAGCCCTATTCTTTCTCTCTCCTGCACCATCACCCGTATGTGAAATGCACCATGTAGGTATGTGGGAAAGGAATGCTTCTGAGGTTTAAAGCTAAGACTACCAAAATGTCAGAAACTGTCACAGCAGAGATAACCATAAGTATTAAAATAAATTTAGCTCATCAGATAGCACAGGATCCCTCAAAAGTCACTTTTGGGAAGGAAAACTTCTGTGGAGAATGCTCTGAAGAATACACAATCCAGAAAAAATTATTTTCTTTGAGTCCAAGCTCTCTTTTTTTTAGCCTTCTGACATTAGGCTCAAAAAAAGAGAAAGGCAATTCATGTAGTGAGATTCAGACTTGAATGGTATTGCAGAACAAACCTCTACCAGAATTGTCCCTTGAGTAGTTCCTAGTCCAGGGGTTCACCATGCCCCATTGCATAAGACTTAAACCAGACAAGCCTTAGGCCAGGGTGGCTCTTACACAGGACACCATGGGGTTCATTGTGCTCAGAATTTTCTGTCTCAGAGTCTCATTTTTATTTCAAATGTGAACTATTGTCAAATGTGACAAGGAGAAAGATAAGTTTCTGGTATAAATTTTTGCCAACTAATTAAGATACACAATTTACACAAGTAGATATGTAACAACTGGAGTCAAAATATTGACAGGAAGCATTTTGTGTTAAGGTTGGGGTTTTCCTCATTGTCCCACGCTTATCCATCATTGTACTTTGATGCCTCTCAAGTGGAATTTTGAGGTTGAGGGCGTCTAACTCCATGCACAATAAGTGGCTATAGGGGAAAAAGGCATTTGCAGGTATCCCAAGAGCCTAAATCCAGTGTTTCTATTTCTTTGTAATTACAATTTTTTTAATGTAATAATGTACCCTTGTATGTACTGTACATTTCTAACAGCATTACACTGAAAAAACAGAAATCTACTCACCCGTTAAAGATATTTACACTGGAAATCATTTTTCATTCCATTCTATTCCCTACTATTTTTTTCTCCATTTGAATTGTTGTAATTCAATTAATGCATGTACATATTAGACATAATCTAAAACATGAATTCAAATATACTATAGTGTCATAAATCAAGTATAACCACTACAACAAAAGTCACTACTCTTTACCCATGGGATTTTTGTAGTACTGAAACACAAGTTCATTCATAGTCTGCATGAATTCAAAATTCACATTGACAGATGTCAGCAGGATCATTAACCCTTATCACAAAACTGCCTTATAATTGTACTTTAAAATAATTCCTTATGTTCTTAACTCTGATTTTGGTGCAGTCAGAGCACATGGTTCCACTGTGTTACAGGACACAGTTTCACAGTTGGTTGGTCCTGTCACAGCTCTCCAGCACTCGGGATACCAAATACATCTGTTGTTTTCCTTTAATTTGCTGACTGTCACATTTATGCTCCACGCAAATTTTAAAATTCAGTATTAGAAATATTTGACTTACTAGGAAAAGTAGCATGACATTCCCATACCCTCCCAGAGCAGGGTAACCATAACTTCGATGCATTGCACCAACAGGAGAGGGAAGTCAGATGTGAATCCACTTCTTGTCTAGAACAAAAAGGAGAAGAGTGATTTTTAAATCACCAAGATGTCTAATTATTTTTATGCAAGGCAGACAATTTGCTATTTAAATGTATAATTTGTAATATATGAGGTCACTTCTATTTTAAAACACTCTAAAGTGGTTTAAAAGGAAAAGCTTTTACTAAAATCTCAGATTTTCAGTAAAATGCCAGTTTCAGTATAGTATTTGAAGCTAGACTTATGCCTGGGTGAAGAGCAGAGCTGGAAATCAATGCTTTTTCAGTGCTTCTTATGGCCGCGCTCCGGCTGTTCTTTACTACGTTAAGTATTGTTTTCTCTCACATGATGAAAAAAGACGCTCCAACACTCTCGGTATTTCTTTTTTCACTGAAAGTGGTGCTGAAAATGTCACACAACCTATCCTTGTACGGCAGCAGGCGCTCAGGCCAACACCAAGTTTCTGGACGGCTTTATGGGGGCACTTCCAGGATGGTCATTAGGAGCCAGTCCCGGTGCACGCCATGGAGCAGCGGCGGAGGAAAGGCAGCTGCGGCGCCTCCTCACCTCACCCCCGGCGCTGTTCCGTGCCTGTGTGTGAGTTACGCGCCCCCGGCACGGTGGCCGGAGCCGTGCCCGCCATCCCGGGCGCGGGAGGCAGCGCTGGCTCCGGGACCGCGCGGGCCCTCGAGGAGCGGCCGCGGCTCTTCCTGAGGGCTGAGGCGGGAGCGCGGGACCCCGGCCCATTCCCGCCACCGGGCTCTCGCTGTCCTGCCCTCCCGGCCGCGCCACCGCCGGCTCCGGTTTAGCGCCGAAATAGGGTTTTAGATCGGGGAGAGGCCCGGTTGAAGCTTACATTGGGAACCAGCTGGCACAAAGGTACCCAGGCCCAGCGCCCGGGCTGCTTCCCGCTCCTGCCGGGAGCTCCCGTGTCCCCGACTGCTCCACGTGAGCCTTGCGGAGACAGAAACGCCTGCCAAGCTGCATAGACAGGATTATTTTCAGAACAGTGTTATGCCTTATAGAGGAAGCCTGCTCATATGCAGATTCTTTAAAGCCATTTAGGTATTTAATTACCATCTTAAATTAGTTCACTGGCAGTAGGCACCTGTTACGTTCTGGGAAATTGAGTAGTGTCCTGGTTTTTAATCAGCTCTTTAATGTGTACATGTGCTTTAAACACCTCGTTAATTGGCAGGAAATAGTTGTCGTCTTTCTTTTCCCAAGCTTTTCAGAAGGTGTCACCTGGGATCTCACTGCAGAGCCAGTGGACCATTGAAAAAAATGACAGAAAGTTGTGGGCAGGAGCAGACGAGATGGATAACAACAGTCATTATGAGCACAGCTCTGCAGGTACGGCACCACTTGTCAAGACCAGCATCTGACTCACTACGAAATGATGAAAAAATCATGTCCTATATTCTATAAATGGAAATATTTTATTCAGTGTCAACAAATACAGTTTTTTTGAGGATAAAACAGAGATATTATTAGTCTGAAGCTGCTTCTTCTAGAGTTCTGGTTCTTTTTCCGTGTGTCTGTATTTTCTCCTAGCTACTTCCGTATCTATTTAGTATTCTTGCTACCTGCTATTCTGAGTTACACTGCTTTAGGATTTTTCTCCTGGCTCATCATTTTTGCACTGCCCTGATGCCGCTTTCAGTTAGCGCTGTAAATAATTTCATCAGAAATGTTTCTCAATTTTCTGAATTTCTCCCTAAACACTTTATTTTCTACTACACAGTATCAGCATTGGGGCAGACGATCGCTCAGTAAGCACGTAATTCAGTTTAAAATAGTGAGTCCTACAGATATTGATATATATTTATATCCGTTAACATCAGAAGCCTTGACTGTGTTCCCAAGTAAAGTGAAAGGGTATGTCAATGATCTGGTAATTAGTTTCTGCAGCTGAGGCCAATTTCATGCCAGCTGACAAGAATTTAGAGGCAAGAGGGCTTTGATTCACAGGCAAGAATATCTCATGCTAGCTTGGCTGACAAGGTTATCACCCCATCTCTGCTGGGTAAATGGGTGAACCATGTTGAAATAATTCCTGAATCACCTCAGTTTAAAGCCTATTCTTATTTGCCCATGTGTCTTGGAATTTACAGCCTGTAAACTGTGACTGTTTGGGAACTGCTTCAAGAGCAACTTAATCCATAATATGGTAAGAGGTATTGGGTGGCAGTGATTTCATCAGCTATACCAGCATAACGCATTGCTATTAATAAGACCTGCAGCTCTATTCAAAACTACTGCTGTTAATAAGGGCTTTTCCTACACAAAGCTGAACACAAATCTAAGATGGGTTTTCTGTATCAGTTTTGGTTATAAGCTTTTTCTTTTTCCAGGACAGCTATAATTTTCTTAAAGCTGTTATTTACATTTGTGCATTTTTTCCAAAATTGTAGTTATAAGCAGTTGCCACTGAGTGTTCCCTTTCCAGACCAGTTGAAAGCATGACATTTCTGGTTACTGTCTCCTTCAGGGTTCACTTGCTATACAGATTTTATTTTGTACTCTTCCACTAAATCATGACACTTTCCTATATAGGCAGGTTGGCTATATTTTAAATGGGCAGGTTAAAGAACATGTTATTAGCTAAAAAGGATTCAGTGATTTAACCTTTAAAATACGTGTGTTCGAGCAGCTTTCGTAGAACATGTTGCAGAAATGCTTTTTGCAAGCTGAAAAATACATCCAAACCCTTTCCATTCTGTAGATTATTATGATTATTAGTTTTCCTGAGTGGATTGCATTCTGTCAAAAAGCTTTAAAGAAAATCACGTCCCATACAGAATTTCTGAACTATTTTCCAACTGAGATGATGACATCTGTGAAAACAATGCAGTCTAATTAACTGGAGTCATAGAAACACACTATTGTATGTTCCTCATTTCTGCAAATCCTCCTTTAGCATTTCTTACAAAAATAGACTGTAAAATGTTTGACTTTCTTTATGCATTA